ACATTTCTAGCCAGGTTACAATTTCATCCTTTGTCTGGCCATTTGGGATTAGAATGGATCCAAGATATTTAAAGGTGACAGGACATACGACAGTTACTAAGGAATTATCCTACTAGATATCTTCGGAAATTTTGAAAAAAATTTTCTCTTCCCTCCTGCTGATTAGACTCATGATAACACGAGGTAACAGAATGCGTCCTAATCAAGCTAGATTCAGACCGGGATGCGGTCGTGCTGACCAGATATTTACGCTAAAGAAGGCGTTGGAACATCGCTTCAAATACCATCAACCCACCGTAACTTGCTTTATCGATTTTGCAACTATCTTTGTTAGAGCAGCGCTCTGGAAAGTGATGAAATTGGACGGTGAAAATCATTCAGCTCATAAAGGCATTTTATCAGCATATCTTGCCACAGGTCTGTGTATATAAGGAACTGACAGACTCCTTCGAAATAAGAATTGTTGTCTCTCAATGCTGCGTCCTTTCCTTTACAATATTCAGTTATGCGATAGACTGGGTAATGAGCATGTCAGTACTCAAGAGGTTTGCAAATCATTCCAAAGAATAGTATCACAGACCTTGAATACGCTGATGATGATGTAGTCTCTTTTTTGCTAATATTTACGAAACAAACAATGCTAAACAATGCTAAACAACGTATCAGAAACTGTAGCGAGAATCGGAACTCAGGGCCAATGTAAATAGAACGAATGACTTTTCTTTTTATATACAAGAAGTTGAGAAAATGCCTCTTTTTATAAACTCGTCGCCGTTTGGAGGAGTGCCCGATTTAAATACTTTGGGTCTACTTTAATAGCGAATGCGCCTTGATCAAGCTGGTTTCATACCGTTGTGCTGACCAGGTATTCACGTTAAGAAAGGTGTTGGAACATCGCATCAGATATTTGCAACCAACTGTCACGTGTTTCATCGATTTCGCGGATGCCTTTAATTCAATTGATAGAGCGGCGCTTTGGAGGGTGATGGGAGGTGACGGTATTCCAGACAAAATCGTTCGACTTATAAAGGTATTTTATGAGCGCACATCGGCGCAGGTTTGTGTATATGGGGAGCTGACAAATTCCTTCGAAATAAGAACTAGTGTCCGTCAGTGCTGCGTCATTTCTCCTACAGTATTCAACTATGCGATAGACTGGATAATGCGTATGTTGGCACTCAAGAGGTGTCCAAATCAGTCCAGAGCATTCTATCACAGATCTTGAATACGCTGATGATGTAGTCCTTTTTGTTGACAGTTATGATGAAATGCAAATAATGCTAAATAATGTGTCAACAACTTCAGCGAGAATCGGACTCAGAATAAAACGAAAGCCTTTTCGTCTTATGTGCAAGAAGCTGATAAAATGCCTCTTTTTGTAAATTCATTGCCGGTTGAGGAAGTGCTCGATTTTAAATACCTTGGGTCCACTCTAATACCAAATGGACAGGCAAAAGATAATATTACAGCTCGGATCACGGTAGCTAGAAGTGCATTCTTCCAATTGACGAAATCTTTATGGAGTCGTGAAATTACCAAAAAAACGAAAGTCCGCGATCTATGTAGCCTCTATTCGTTGGATGTTGCTGTATGATTCTGAGACATGGCCAATGAGAGTGGAGGATATTAAGAAGTTATCTGACTTAGACCACTTATTTCTGAGGTAATTTTAGGAGTCCGTCGAGCGGATAAAATATCACATGATCGCGTTCACCTTCGTTCATATACTACTTGCATAAATAATCGTATCACAAGGCGTCGCCTTCGCTGATTAGGGCACCTTCTCCGTCGTCCACCACAGGAATTGAAATTGGCGCATATTTCGCTACTTGCTGAATCCTGGTTGGCGTCAAAAGCGAGGAGGGCCAATCAAGACCTGGACTGATAGTCAAGAAAGATTTTGAATATATAGGCAGGCTTCTATTACTGCTGGCGATGGCATCGGACCGAGCAGCTTGGAGACGTCTTGCTCATGTAGCCAGCAGAGCCGGCCTAACCAGTAATGGTGGGAGCTGTTAGAAGAAGAAGAAGATATTTAAATATTATCGGGCACTTCTTCAACCGGCAATGTAAAAAAATAGGTATTTTATTAGCATCTTGTTCATAAGACGAAAACTTCGTTTTATTTATATTGATTTTTAGTCCAATTTCACTGTAGTTGACACATTGTTTAACACTGTTTGTATTTCATTATAAGCAAAAAGGGCTAGATCATCAGCGTATTCAAGGTCTGTGATGCTATGCTCTGGACTGATTTGTATACTTCTTAAGTGCCGACAAGCGATGCCATTATCCAGTCTATCGCATAGGAACATAACATTGTGAGGAAAAGGACGAAGCCTTGACACTTATTTCGAAGGAGTCTGTCATTTCTCATATACACAGACCTGTGGCAGGTTATGCTGATAAAATACCTTTATGAGCCAGATTATCTTCTCGGCGACACCGTCACATTTCATCACTTTCCAGATCGCTGCTCTAACAAGCGAATCGAAGGCAGTTGCAAAGTCGTTAAAGTAGGTGACGGTGGATTGTTGGTATTTGAAGCGATGTTCCAGTACACCCTTCCCTGCAGAACTATGGTTAAGAAATCCTCAAAGATACTAAATTTTATTTTTCGTTCGCTTAAGAACAAAAGGTTTTCTTACCAAAATGTAGAAAGCGTTCGTTCGGCCACTTCTTGACTACAATACGACATGTTACTTCCTGAGATATCGTAAATCAAGTAAAATAATTGAAGGAACCCAAAAATATTTTATAGATGCCTCTCTCCTAATTGCAATTTTAATTATAAACGAAAACTTCTACAATATAACCTGGATTCTCTGTCAGTTCGTCGTATTAAACAAGGTTTAATTTATAATTATAAGATTCTATGGTTATGTTCAATTAGATCGTTCAAAATATTATAATTTTAGATTAAATTTAAATCCAACAAGAACTGATGGGCTAAATTTACTAAAACCTATGTGTAAAACTAAGGACTCATTATTTCTTTAACCGAACGATATAGCTTGTGCGACATCCTTAGCTATCTTTAAAAAAAGGTTAGATAATATCATTTATGATATTATTTAAATAGTTCGCATTATGCAGGAAGTGTGAAATCTCGATTTTTGCCATCTTTATAGTTACCGATTATAGTTACTTCGAATTAACGATTTCTCTCCCTCAGTGCTACTGTTATTGTAATGTTGTTGTAATTCTTCGAAGTACCCGATAATTAGAATTTCTTGACATTTGGGCTTTGACAACTTTTTACGATAGTTGGACAGTTGCTTCCGACACCCAACCAGGGTACTTCCTATTAGTATACCCTAGTTTGGAAGTGGCTGACTTTTGTGAGCATGTCTTTAGTTGGGACAAATATTCATTCGCAGTTCCAGAAATATCATTTCACTGAGGTGTTTCGATAATACGATTTGGAATGCGCTCTATTGTTCCCGTATCTTTTAATTTGAGATAGATCTCGGAATAGGTTATTTCTTACTACTTATCAGCTTTATATGAATCTTGGCTCGAATCATAATATGCATGGTTTGACCCATGGCCGTTACCAGTTTCACCTCCCCGATAAAAACAACCATCAAGTACAGGACTCTTCCAGCGGTGACTGACCAATATATAGTCAATCTGATTGGAATATTGATTACCCGGAAATTTCAACGCGATTAGAAGTTTTCTTCGATGACGGAAGCATTTATTAGTAACAAAGAATTCATGCTATTCGGCAAAGCAAAGAAGGCATTCTACGTTGGCACACTGGACCTCGATACCATATTTGCCAATTACCAAAGAATTCATCGTAACGGCATCATGATCTGTGCGCGCATTCCAGTCCTTCCCCAATTATGACCATGTCACCTCTCGGTTATAGAGATGTTGTTAAAACTCTGCATAGAACTTAGCCTTATCGCGGTCATCTGTGCAAGAAGTTGCAGCATATACACTGATGGAAATATTGCAGATTTTGAAACGCGCATAGGCCATATGTTCATTTACTGGCTTCCATTCAATCAGAGTGGATCGAGCCTTTTCAGACATGTTAATGGCTACACCATTTCGCCTCGAGTTATCCGAGACACCACAGTGATATAACTAATATCCGCAACTAGGTTTGCCCGTAACTAGGTTTAATATTTACTTGATAGCCAGCATGAGGAAGACGGTCCTCCGACAAACAAGCCATATGCTATTTAGAGAGGGTGTGGACAGTTATCGTTTGGCTTGCAGCACCCATAAGCGTTCTGACGTTCCAACCAGTTAGCCAGCATAGCCATCACGTTGCCATGCCTATAGAGTGTTAACGGATAGGTTCTTGTATCTTTTGATGGGTTTTGAGTTGTTTTGATTCGCGAGCAAATTCTATGCTTTTGCCTTGGAGTTATTTTATTATTATTATTACGCGCGGATCGTATATTGATCTCATGTTCCACGGGGTCAAAAGTAGCATGCGCGTCGGAAGATGCGGACGTTCGCGTTAAAGAGACCTGTTTTACTATGGAGTCTCTTGGGAATAGAAATACAGGTGAGATCCCTAGCAGCCACTCGAATTTTTGTCAGCATGATAGCTTTACTCCTGTCAAAGACAAAGAATAGAGATAATTTAAAAAAAAGGGAAATTTAAAGATAGTTAAGAAGAAAAAATTTGAAAAACAAACTTATCCGATTAAGAGAAGAGAAGAGAAGAAGAAGAGAAGATTAATATTTATGGTATATTACATAATAATAGTAAATAGTAAATAAGGTTATAAAATAAGAATACAATAATATAATCAAGTGATAAAATATTCTGAAGACAAAAGTCTTAAGAAACTGTTAATAATTAACATTCAGTTTCATTTATTAAATAGTCATCAATTATTCTTTTAATACTCATTTATATTTTACAGTAATTATTTCTAGTTCTAGTTAAGGTTAATTCGGACTTATTTATTTAATATTTAACATTTTTATTTCCTATTTAAAATTTATGGCATTTTTAAAATAAATTCTCCACGATTTGCATTCATTTAATTTTCTCGCATTTCTAGGTTTTATTTTATTTGAATTAATTTTTGAGAAATTAGGTTAACTTATTGTGAAAATATTTTAAAAATTTGCTTGATCAAAAAATTTAAATTTAAAAAATCACTTTACATCACTTTTTTTTTGTCTAAAAATATGAATCTTGTATTTATAATTTTTTCTAACAAATTTTTGAAATTTTAGCCTATGCATCGATGATGAAAGCAACATTTGGGTTGCAGCTAAAGGTGGTCTATTTAAATTCGATCGCGATGGTAAAAAAGTATTATTTGAGCGAAAGAATCCGTTTCCGAAAAAAATATCACCTTATTGTCAAGTATTGTACTGTAGAGGAAAGGTTAATCCTACTTTTGCCTCTTGGTTTTTTTGTTTACTTTGATCATTTACTGGCTAGAACCGAAAAATGAGCTAATTTTAGTTTCTAACGATTTCAACTATACTATATGTTTTCATAATAGCGTATTAAGGTGCTAACTTTAGATAATATTTGCATTTGCGGATGATAAAGCGGCATTAACAGAGCTGAGGATATTAAATTTATCGGGTGAAATTTTGAGTGAGCAGTTTATCGATGGTAAAGTCCAAAGTCTCACTATCTCGAATAATGGTAAATTCTTTATAACAAAGCAACTTCAAGGCGAGGATTCTATAATCTATATGTATAGTTCGATATTCTTTTGCTTTTTTATAAATATTTTTATAAATATTTTAAATATTTTTTTTATAAATATTTTTTGTCTTATTTTGGATTTTGCAATATGATTTGGTACTAAATTCAAGCAGTAGTTTTAAGAATTTTTTGAAGAAAAAAATTAAAGTTTAAAATTCAAAATTCCTTTATTTTCAAAAGATTAAAATTTCTTTTAGGTCACATATTGATCGCCCGATAAATTGGGAGGAAATGATTTCGGAAGATGAATTCGTTTTTCAAGCGATTTGTGCAGTAGATTCAAATACTTTACTTGCTGCTACATGCACAATTCCTGTTAATATGTATTCCAAGTAAATTTTTCTTTTATTTAGCAGGGCTTCTTGAAATATATTTTATATATTTATTTATATTTTAAAATATTCTCAGACTGAAAGAAATTCTTAAATTATGCATTCATTTAAAATATGATAAATATAATGATATATTTACCTTATATTCATAATAAAGCACTGGATCTGTCACTATGTTAAGAATTTTTTTCAGACAACATTTAAGAATAATTGATGTTAGCAAACAAAAAATTATAAAAACCTTCTGTGAATCTGGAAAAGAAAATGGTCAGATTTATTTCCCTCGATCGATACAGAGGTTTTAATTAACTTTTCTAAATAACTAAGAATATTAACTTATTTTTTAGTATCGTTTGATCTATATTTTTATAATATATCGGTGAATGTGCAGAAGTAATAATTTTTAATTTCAGATATAAAGATGGTGTATTAGTTTTGGATAAAACTGGTAGGATTCAAAGATTTAATTTGGATGGCAAATTCATTTCTATATCTGCGCAAATAGATGCTTATCTTGGAAACGGTTTCATAGTTGAAGAAGATCAGGCAATAATCGCCTGTTCCGGTATTGTTTTAGACAAGGTATGTCATTGTTTTATGGAAATATATGCTTTTATTTCATGCCGATATACATTTGAATTCTTTTATTAAGGATAATAAAACGATTTGTGACGACTGGTTGGAAAAAATAAAGTTGGATGGTAGCAAATGGACGCCAGCTGACCTTAAATCGTAAAATAAGAGGCCATTTTTTTGATTTTGATTCGTTCTTGATATTGGGCATGGAGAATAAAATTTTGCCGCTAAATTTTTAGATTGATTTGACATTAATTTCCCTCTATTTTTTTAAACTTCGAACAGAACAAAAAACTTGATGCCTTTCTCAAATGCAAGAGCAACTGCACTAATTTTCACGAAATATAAAAAGGTAAGTTTTCCATAATTTGTATATTTCTGACTGATGCTTTTTTACTTAAATCTTGATAATTTTACATTATTTCCGACAAATGTTTCAAAATTTTGGAAGAAGCATATTGTGAAGAACTATAGGGAAATCAAAATCGTCACTAATAATTTTTTCATTTCGATATTTTTAAAATTAAATCTGTGATTCTGGTCTGTTCTAATTTCTTATCTTCTGATTCATGTTAGCAAGAGAAATGAAATTTGGTTTGAGACTAATATAATTTTTATTCAAACGAATCATAAATTGTTTCAAATGATATCTTGGAATTCTTTAATGGGAACTGCGTTTTTCAGATCTATTATATTTAATATTTGAAATTTTTTGAAATGGGTGGCTGTAAGTTCTTTTTTTGTGATTTTAAAAAACAGATTTGCAGTAATGGATTATTAATGGTGATGATATTCATTAGTTGTTACAGTCACAGTACTGAGGGATTTCGATATTTTTTGCCAACCATTTTTCACATTCATTGCCAATGTTATATAGCACTTTGGTACTTACAGTTTTTTGTGTACAACTACCGTAGCCTGAAACATTTTGCGCAGTTTCTTTTCTTTATTGCAAATGAACTTTGTATTTTACCAAATAAAAGTTAGGGCATTAATATTATGGAAATAGCTTTATTAGAATGTTGATATTTGAGAATGAATATCGTTAATGAGCACTTGTCATTGGACTGCTTCAACTAAGATCAAGCAGTCATAAGTTCGATCTGCTGTCTCTCGACAGAAGTGGGTTTGACATTAAGAGTGAAATTCAACTGAATGTTAGTATTTCTATTTCCAACTGGCGATCGCCAAGTGGTTGATCAAATTGTCATGATGGTTACAGGCTCAGACTCTTCCTCCGAAAAAAATGTCCTATCAGTAAAAAATCAGAGTAATAGTGGTAATTCACGTATACTTGTACCTCATAGCGATTCTCTGGCAAAAGTTTCAAGATTATATACTAAAAATCAGTGAGACTGACCTAACGAAAAGTGATGTGTGCTAACCAATTGTTTATTTTTCTCGACCTGATTGTAAGAAAAAGAGGCCACCATTTTTTAAGGATCACGAATAGTATTATGATTAAATCCCATTTTATAATGATTTTTGCAGAAGGGTTTTGGTGTCACCGTTTAGTGTTTGATAAAAATATCATCACCATATTTTATCTCACCTGAGTTACAAGACATATGCTCCTTCAAACAGCGCGTAGAACTTATGAATCGAGGGAAACAATTCGCTTCGAGCATGTAAATCTCTTTACAAGAAATGCAGCTATCATTATCTCCATGTTGATTGCAGGGTTCTAGTTGTTCAGAAGTTCCTGAATTTATTTGGTCTGTAATAATTTTTTATTTAAAATAGAACTCCATAATCTAGTGGGGAAAAGTGGTTTTCTTCTGGTGTAAGTTCAAGTTGTTTATCACAAGATTTTTAGGAAGATTCGAAACATTTTTCATTTTTCTTCTTTTGGATCTTATCATTTACTTTCAAAAATTATTTTAGGAGATAAGAGATTTTTTTTTTAAGAAAGGCCAGTGAAAAGATGAAAAAAAAAGCAATCATCCTTATTACTTAATTCACATATTTTATTAAATTTTTCGTCGATATACGATGGGAAAAATGGGAGCTGATAAAGTTTTGCACTTCGCATATGTATGTTTTTGGTCAGTTCCGATTCTAAAAATTTAAAGTGTGCCATTTGATATCCTGGTTCTTGTAAAACTGTGCCATTCCTATCATCCTTCTACAAAAAAACGTTAAATTTTGTCGTTATCATGGAAATATCATTTCTTTCAGTTTATAAATTGATTTAAAGCGTTAAAGCATGGAATTGGTAGTTTTTATTCTGCTACGTGAGAAATTGCCATGAGTGGGCACTCAATTAAATTTTAAATTAGTTTAATGAAGAAGTGGAAATCTTACGAAAATCTTTGTATCATCATAAAAACGTGGAAATCTGGTCGCGAATTTAAATACTGCTTCTTCAAGAGTAACTGCTGTATATGCTCTGTTATCCGCAGCGCCAGCATTATCGAGCATTTGTCGAAGTTCGTTCGCATTAAATTTGCGACATAAACTCGATGTATAATGTGACCTTCTAGATGGTAAAGAGAAAATTTTATAGCAAGATTGTTACTGGTCAAATCTATCGCCCATAGTGACTTCCCAATTTTTAATTTAGTCAGAATTTGTACATTTAAATTCTATGCCTTTGGCGCCATTAGTTGTCTTTGCGAGTCCTTATCTTTGGATCAGAGATTTAATGCTGATCTTCTTTAAAAAGGTTTCCTCCTTATATTTAATCTTCAAGGATCATTTTTATTTAATATTTGTAAATTTTTCCAGTTTGCTCACAGTATGAAATATAGATTGTTTGTATCGTTCTTTAATATCATAAATTTACTGGTATATTAGGACACTACTATTTACTAGCTTGAGTTTATGCAATTTTTATAACTATATTTTATTTACTGCCATTATTGTTATTACATTTATCATTATAAATCCCTTAACTTTTTGCTGTTTAAATTATCGAGTTTGACTGTCCATATTTGAGACAGTAGCTACTATGAATAAACTTACCCCTTGTTTGTATATAATAATAATTCATGCAAGCATAGATTGCAAGTCTTGCGTTGGTATTTCCGATATAAAGTTAGCGATGGGAGGTTTGTCTCCTTATCCATGTAAAAAATTTTTTTTAGTAGTATGATTCATTTTGCAACAACGTATACATATTGTAGTCAGTAAATTTTGTCGCCATTGCGAATCGTGTGTTTTTAACTTAAGTAAATATGAAATTTATTATTAATTATTATGTCGCCATTGCGAATCGTGTGTTTTTAACTTAAGTAAATATGAAATTTATTATTAATTATTATTTATTTTTATTGTTTACTGTTTTAAATTTATTTTTCCTTTAACTTATGTTTTGTTGTTGTTTTGTTAAAAGGTTTACTTACCCATTTGTGGTTTTTGCTTGTTTAATTATCAAATTTGATATGACGTTTGCGCATAATATTATTTCCAAAACAAAATTATAAAAAAGTTCCACATATTTTATACAGACCAGTTATCTATATTTTTTTGCTCCCTACCTTATTTATAATAGATATCTTCATGCGTAGAAGCATAGATTGAAAGTTAGAGAAAGAGTAATTATCAGAAATATTTTCGCAATTTTCTTCCTTTCTGGTCTGAATTGGTTAGTATTCTGTTAATTTCTAGCTCATCCTAGCCAATCTTCAGCTAATTTCGCTAATTTCTTAAAAATCATTAGAATTATAATATGAAACAAAATGTAAAAAAAGACACTTGATTATTGGTGCAACCGCTGACTCGACTGAATCTGAGGAGTTGAAAATTTTTGTGTCAATAGTATTTTTCACATGCTGAATCAAATTAAAAGATGAGCTCAGCTCCAGGTTTTTTTTTTATATAATCTTTATATAATCTTTTTAGCAATTGCTGAAAAATTTCCAATTTTTTACATAATTTTGTAGCTCATGAAATTATTTCAAATTGTTAATAAAATTACTCTGATTAAAGGAATAAAAGAGTAAGATTTTGTTAAACATACCAGATCTGTTTCAATAATTTGTTCTTTTGACGATTCATTAGATAATATTGGTGCTAATGTTGGTGGAATGACTGGAAACGGAAGAATAAGAAAACCTAAATTAAATTTGTTTTTGGAAAGTTTAAAAAATTCTCATTTTAAACAATTCATTTTTGCAAACTTTTCTTTTGATTTCATCAATAAAAAACTAAAAATTTCTCATTTGGAGATAAAACTTATGTTTGTAGAAAGCAGATTAGCCAACATTCTTATCTTATCGTATCTTTTTTTCTAAAAATTATCACTATTTCTGGTTAGAACTCGCTGGTTTTTGAAATCGCATTTACCAAGGAGTCGCTTGGTGATAGAAATGCAGATGGGTGACCAGCATCACCGGGATTCTTGAAGGACTGATTTACTTTTGCTAGGAATAGAATCCCAGCATCAGCGCTTCACATTTGAAACGAGGGAAAAACACATTTTGCTGTTTTCTACCCGAATTATTGAAACTGATTAAGTTATTTTGATTTGATTAGGATATCTTAAACCAGATTGCCTTGGTGATATAAAAATCATTTATTTCAATTTGTATTTGTACTCCACATGTTTGTGCAGATGAGGCTATGCTACTGTGGTGCATGTTCTCTTAAACCTAACGAATGATTTGAACCAGTGGGACCAGTAGAACAAGTGATAGTGAATCTTAATCGACAAATTAGGTGATCACTCTGAAGTTTTAAATATATAAATATCGGTGGTGGACGTAGTGATATGAAAGACATATAAAGATTTTTAGTTACTCTCGAAAATTTCCCATTCAAATCATTTCTCTAGATTAACAAATTTTTTCTTTTTTCTATATTCTTAATAATATATATTTTTATATATTTATATCTGTATTATATATTATGTATATTTATATTGTATATTACATTATATATATTTGTATATTTATACAAATATATATATTTCATGGATTTAAATTATAAATTATAAATAAATATGTGTATTAAATATAAATATATATATATATATGTATAATAAAATATATCTATAAATATGTATTAAATATAAATATATATAAATAAATATATATAAATATATATATATAAAATATATATATATATATATAAAATATATATATATATATAAAAATATAAATATATATAAATATAAAATATATATAAATATATAAATATATATAAATATATAAATATATTTCTCTGAATATATTTCATGGATTTTCGTGGGTTGTGTTTATTGCTTGTTCACCACTAGGAGGCAATTAGATTTTCAATTAAACATTCCTAGGCAATTAGATTTTACCTATGTCATACGAAATTCCGAAACTACTGAAGAAGTCAGAAATATTCAGCTCTTTAGTGGAAATGTAGTATATAAGAAGGCATAATAATTTAACTTCTCGTTGTAGATTCTAGATTTTGGACTATATTTATTAATGTTCATAAGGGAATTAGACTTTCCCAGCTTCTTATCACGAATTAAAGCGATAATTTCGTAGTTTTAACAAATAACGTTATGAAAATACTTTGAAGTACTTACGCTTGCTTCTATTTTCTCTTTCGCTGTCAACATGTTTGAATATATTTTCACTTGATTTGTTAGTATATTGTGGCATAAAAAATCGGGGCCTGAACTTGGATTGGCGAGATGATGAATATATAATTGTTGTTTCATTGTATCTACGTGGATATAGTATGATTGTAGCACTTTCAGGTATTAGAGCGATAAACAAGCAAAAAAATATGAATATTTCTGCCGCAAAAGGTGTTTGAGCCATTGTCAAAATTTGCCGACCAAAATTGACTAAAGATAAAAAATTCCATCATTTTAATGATCAGGAAAAATTTTTATGAATATATACGGATATAAAGAATTTCCGATAATTTCTGGTTTGAAAATTTTTGGTGCATTTGGGGGTTTCTTTTGCTCTGCATAATTGAGATAGTTAGCAAAATATAGCTATCCCTCATAATTTTAGCCTAATTGTTTCCAAATTTGAATAAAAGGAAGATTTTAATCGCCAAAGGTTTTAGTCTTCAGTCTACAATTTAACCGTTATTTTATTGATAATTTGTTATCTTCTATCTCAATTGCCAGCTCTTCGAAGTTGATTGAAACCAGATGATTTTATACATAAAGGAAGGAAATATCCTTAGGATGGTAAACGTAATAGAAAAATTTGCTAGTTGGGATCACATTATGATTAGTACACATTTAAAATTGAGCAAAAGACAAGGCAAGGCTATCAGTTGTTTTTACGACCTGAGTAACAAGAGGAAAAACGCATAAAAAACATAAGAAACAGAATAACAAAGATGAAAGCTCATATTTATAGTAACTTTTGAGACAAATCATGACCTATAGCCTCTACGATTTTCAAGAAAGAATGATTTGTTCAACATAGTTGCTATTCATGAAAGTTTTTTTAACGAATTATGCGCATATATGCAAAAAATTTCGCAATTAGTAATCAAATAGTCATTCTATTTCATTTAATCAGAATTTAAAAATTCGAATGGAAACCAATTTTTATTTGTTCCTCATTTGGAAAAATCCTTTCAAAATTGAGTAGTAATAGTAATAATGCTCGTCGCCGTCCTTTTGCCATTGTTTAAATTCAATTTGTTTTTGATTGCTTCACATAATGCAAAAATTATTGTCAGCTATTGTCATTTATCAGCCAATTTTTTTAGTTCATATAACTTCTGCACCAAGGTACTATACTTTATTGTTGCCCAATCAGTAAGTTTAATTCAAAACAATTAAATCGGATAAATATTTCAGTCACATCACGCTCACTCACGTTTGATCTGGTAATGATATTTGATATAAAAGGTCAACTGATTTTTTATAAAAATTTTGAGTTTTTTTATTGTTCATACTGTTTATTAATTACTGCAAAGATTACTGATCAGACTGCAATTTTTCAGAGCGAGTGAAGCGAGACGATATGTTACTTGCATTGAATTTAAACATTATCACGAGTTCACTTGTTGGGGTGTGAACTTCTCCATTAAAATGAATACAGGTGATACTTGTGGCGTCATCCGTTCATCTGTGCCTAAGTAACTCTCTTTCATCCTGCTAGTTAAAAGGGCCAGAAATTGTGGATGCTATTAGAAAACGAAGAATTTCTGAGCTCTGAATGAATTCGACAAACATTTTACGCACTGAATTTATGGAGCTAACTAAATGGTTTCTGAATATCTGAAACGATTTCTAAACTAAAACTGATCGCACCAAAATTATTTTTTAACTTATTTAATGAAAATTTCAAATCATTTTACAATTTTCTCTTTCGGCATTTTTGTACCATTTATAGACTACAAAAAGTATTCTTGAGTTCTTATCAGTACAGTGGTAAAAAGTATTTATATTTATGAGCCTATAATATTTGTTTGTTTGTTTTTTGATTGCTTCACATGATACAAAAATTATTGTCAGTTAAGTTAGCCAATTAGCCAATTTTTTTAGATTACACCAAGATACTATACTTTGTTGTTGCCCAATGAATCTTACTAATAATGATTTATCAAATTCATTTTTTATTAATTATATTTAGTGTAAAATATTATTGAATCTTTTGAGAGTAAGACTGCCAAGTTTCCGATCACTTTGTTCAATGTTGTTTTTACATTTTATTCTCCGGGTATTAATTTGCAGATTAAAGAGTCATCTTTTAAACATCGATATATGTTTCACCGATTGTTCCTGTGGATATTTTAAGGCAGCAGCTAATTCATTGAAAATATGACTGAACATCTCATGCTTATTTTAGTTCATTCCGAGAGGCTTTTAGCAGCGGTGATTGTTGTTTTAAATAGCATTCACATGTTACAGGGATTTCAATGAATCTAACATTCCATTTTTGGCATTCTTCCGTACCAATGTTCTGAAGCACTTTGAAATTAAGTGTTTTTGATTTGCATTCACCATGACCTATAATTTAATTTTGTATTTTTGCAGACATTAAAATCTGCAAACCAACGGTCAGAAATCATTAATGCGAGTGGGCGAATTCGTTGAATAAAAGTGCTCTGTTATGAGAAATTTGTTACCTCGTTTAGTTAAACTATCGAAAATACATAAAGCATTCTTTGCCCCGCAAATAACAGAGTTTAAAAATCTAGGGAAACAATTTTTGCCGAGTAAGTAAACTCCTTTGCAGGATGAACAGAGCTTTGACAAACCAAGAATTTCTTCATCACCTTCAAGCACGCAATCCGAAGCGGGTATGAATATACCTGAAAATGCTTCAATTCATTCAATCTAATGATTTAATCTTAATCTGTATTTAAGTACTTCTTTACCAATAAATATTCGTTTACACAATAAAAAATTATATAAAACGAATGATTTTAAATTTTGAAGAATTTTTTTTATAGTAAAGTTTCCAGGTTTGTTTGTACACTTATACACTTATACTTCATTAATACCTAGGGCACATGAATTTCGTGTTGTCGATACATTCTTGCGACCGAAATTGCCGTCATTATCATCGTTTCCCTCATTATATGTCGTGTTAAACGAAAAAGAAGCCAATTCTTCATTTTCCAGTGCGCTTCGAAGTTTCGATATCATTTCTTTGCAAGGCGCATCACAAATCTGCACATCATCCACGCTCTTAAATCTGTGAATAAAAGCCTTTTGTAAGATTTTTTTGTTAGATTTCTAGATTTTTAGATTTCAATGGACAAAAGGCTCCGGAATAAAGCCATAATTCTACAGTAATATAGCTTGTAGAACACTATTAGCAAATCTTTTTGATCAAGTTTCTGCTATCTACTATGAAATCCATGCTGCTATAAACTGGCGAAAATACACTCACATCTATGGCTTCGGCGTACAATTGATTGATGTACGGATTACTATTGGAATGATCATTATATCCGTAATGTAGACCTGCTTCTTCAGGAGTATTAGCCATGAACGCTTGGTTTAATCCTCCGATTTTCTCAAGACGCTTTTGAAGCTCATTAATGCCAAATTTGCGACAGTATGATTTCGTATTTTGTTTATTCATTTGTCTAAAGCGTTTTATTTCGAAATGAAGTTTATTTAAAAAAAAAAAAATTATAGTTATTACTACAATTCTGTGTGACACCTATTTCATTTGCATCTCATTGTTTAAAAAATTTGCATAAAAAAACCTCATCCAAATCGAGGTTTTATTCAGTGTCTCAAATGAAAAAGTAACATCGTCACTATTCCTATGAGTTGCAACATATGGTATCATGGTTTCTCCATTTTTTCTGTCCTATAATCATGTTCATTATTTTGGTTGCAATTCACCTGCAAAGGTCACATTTTGCGCAACATGCATATCCAAATTTACCAAAAGGATTTTTCGAAAATTCTTTCTTAACTTCATTCTTCAATATTCGCCAGAAACTGGCAAAACTAACAAGTATTGCAAAAAATGTTAATAAAAATGGCTATACAAACTAAGTTTCTTACTGGCTTTTTATTCACAAAATGATTGTATCCAATTAAGGTTTCTTCATTATTCAATAAGATTTCGCTGGTAAGATTTATTTGTGCTTGCCTCGATGACATCAAAATGAATGGATAGGCCAAAAAATTGAGATGAGATGGTCCATCTTAATCGAATTGAATTAAAATAATCGAAAAAACTTTAAAACAAGTCAGTAATTATCAGTATTTACAAAGAAAAAGTAAATATTAAAAGGTAAGCACTTGGAAGCTTGATTCTTCAGTCGATTTGTAGCTCATTAACCAGGAAATCACTTAAAATTGATTAATAACGGTGGCGCTTGTTGATCAATCTTCTATGTCCTACCTCCTGGATCATATCGTACTTTTCTTTTTATAACTGATACTATATTATATATTTCTAATGACAACTATGTGGCTGATGGCTTGAAAGAATGAAATTTAATATTACCTTAATATTTATTGATTTATTTATTTATAGAAATTTAGCCAAGCAGGATGGTAACGCCATGTGCTTATATTAATAACAACAGTTAAAAAAAAAAGAATAAAATTTAGTAATAAAAAAAATTGAAAGTATGACAAAAATTAACAGTTTAAAGAGGAAATTGCAGAATAATATAATACAATTCGAATTAACTTATATATAGTCGGATGGTAAAAGTCGAGATTTCACACTTCCTGCATGATGTGAACTTTTTAAATAATATAAATGATATTATCTAATCAATCTTTTTTTAAAGATAGCTAGGGATGGCGCACAAGCTATATCGTTTGGTAATTTATTCCAGTAATTAATATTACGAATAAAGTAATAATGAGTCCTTAGTTTAGTTTTACACATAGGTTTTAGTAAATTTAGCCCATTAGTTCTTGTTGGATTTAAATTTAACCTAAAATTATAATATTTTGAACGATCTAATTAAACATAACCATACAGAATCTTATAAGTATAAATTAAATCTTGTTTAATACGACGAACTGACAGAGAATCCAGGTTATATTGTGGAAGTTTTCTTTTATAATTAAAATTACAATTAGGAAAGAGGCACCGTATAAAATATTTCTTTACCATAGTTCTGCTGTGAAAGTCGAAATCAAGATTTTCATTCATGATTATTCCAAGATTGGAACTCATTAATAAAAAGATTTGGAAAATCGAAACCTTTAGAATTAATATGATGAACGCTACACTTTTGAAAAGAAAGGGTAATTTGCCTATCATATAGCCAGTTGGCTATTCTGTTGAGATCGTCTTGCAGTAGGCTATCTGTTCTACCATGAGAATAAATTTTACAATCGTCAGCATAAAGATAAATGGTAGAATTTAGATTTACTACATTGGTGATATCATTTATATCTGATAGAAAAAACAATGGCGCAATACAACTACCTTAGGGAACACCTGATTTAAAAGTTGTTGTGTCAGTTAGAATGTTATAGATATATATTTAATATTGCTGAAAATTGATGCTACGAGGTTCAAGTCTCTTCGCCAAAGCTAAATTGGTTTCCAACTTATTTTAATTCGTTTAATCTTGGTTTAACATGGTAATCACTTGCCTGATTTTCTGTAATTATAGGAATCATTTTCATGAAATGTACCAATGTCTTTATTTCGTTCTGAATCAGGATATTGCGTTGTTGTTGAGAAGATAAGTTCAATAGACGAATTAAGCGCTACTGTACTTATTTGATTCTCTGAATCAATCGCTGAGGTGTTACTAGATTTCATAGTAATACAGCATTTGGAAAGTGCGGACTTCTGAGAATCTATTTCAATAACCAAACAGAATAATACATTGAAAGCGCAGAATTTAGAGAACATAACCATAATCCGTAGAAAATGAGCAAAAATCCATGAATAGCTAGAAAAAAATCGCGAACATTAACGATTTCTAAATCAGTTTCACAAGATGGCTTAACGAGTGAACTACTCAGCAGAATACATATTGCACATATTGCACTTACTTCATTGACTATGTCAACATTCAGCAACAAATACTCAATTGGTTTTGCGTATTCTCCCACTTCATTCTTCGATAAACATTCGAGTTGTGAAATAACAACTGCAAAATATAACTATACATATAGAATAATTTAATAACTATATTACTGAAGGCAATATCTTTGATTCATATCTCTTCAAAATTCTTTAAAAATTTAAATTTATTTTTGTAAGCAATTTAAAAGAATTTTTGCTTATATTTTGGCCACTTTTTTTTCGATTTTCAAAAACTAGTTTCACCACAGTGAGTAATAGTTCTTACAATACATAATATTCCAGAGAACTGCAAATCCTGTTTACCTTCTTATTTAATCTTTTTTAAGTGGGAATGTATAAACTGCTGCAGCGAACAGATGTAATAATAATGAATAAAGAAGTAAAAAAAAGTAAAAAAAATCAAAAATATTATTGGTATAAACGATGTTCCACACGACTAATAATATTTACGAATATTTATAATAATAAAAGAACACAACTAGTAAGACGGCCGTGAGCCTAACCACAAATGGCGAGCGCTAGCCATTTGCTTAATTTGCTTAAATAGAGAATGAAATAAATCCTTAAACCATAATGGTCAGTAACTTTCAGTTAATAATTCAATTTTTAATTTTTAATTAATTCTTTTTAATATTTTAATAAGTGAAATTGTAAATTTTTTTAAAATCTCTTTCTTTCAATTCTTCCGAAATTATTCAAATATTGACTTCCCAAATCTTAAGAGATTACAAAAGGCGTTATGATTTATTACATTCTAATTCATAAGGAGATATGGTATGTTTGCATGGATATTTGAACAAATATAGGTATTGGATATATTGCATTCTTTAAAACTGCAGAAAAAAAGATATAAGTCCGTCGTTTGATCACGATTCTCATCGAATGGTTGATAGAATATACTGAGTTTCACAGAGTTTAAAATTCTTACAATAATTATTTTCGTAAAGGCAGCTTTAATAAGTTATTTTGAAGATCTTCTGTAATAAACTAGTAATGCTTATTTATTTTATAATAAATATGTGAGATTCAGGTTATGCTGGCAAATCACCTGTACTTCTAATCGCAAAGTGAAAAATCTGTTTGGTTCGATAAGTCCACAGATCGAGCCTAAACAACAATAGTGAACAATATTAAAAAAAAAAATATGAAACGTCGAGAAATTATAGATTTCCAGAGTTTTTTCATATTCATTGTTTCGATACATTAGCTTATGTTGTCCAAAACTGGTCCAAAAACTCCCATTCTTCTTCTTTTAACAGCTCTCACCTTTACTAGTTAGGCTGGCTGCAACGGCTAAAAGGGTAAGACGCTTCTAAGCAGCGAGGTCTGATGCCATCGTCGACAGTAATAGAAGCCATTCCTTTTTCAATCGTCTGAGTCCATATGTTGCTGGTCCACCTATACGTTCAAAATCTTTCCTGACCGTATCAGTCCAGGCCTTGATTGGCCCACCTCGTACGCCAACCATAACACGGTTTAGCAGTTAACGAAATATGCGTCAAACCCTGTGGTGGACGACGGAGAATGTGCCCTAATCAGCGAAGGCGGCCCTCTGTGATAATATTATTTATGCAAGTGGTATTTGAACGACGATGGATGCGATCTTGTGATATTTTATCCGCTCGACGGATCCGTAATATGAGCCGTAGACAAGAGTGGTCAAAGGCAGATAACTTCTTGATATCCTCCACTCTCATTGGCCATGTCTCAGAACCATATAATAAGATCGAATGGATCACGGCAATATAGGTGCGGACTTTTGTTTTTATGGTGATTTCACGACGATTCCATAAATGCGTTGTTTCGTCAACCGGAACAAATGTCCATTTGGTATTAGAGTGGTCTCAAGGTATTTCAAATCGGGTACTTCCTCAACCGGCAATAAATTTACAAAAAAAGGCATTTTATTAGCTTCTTGCACATAAGACGAAGAGACTTTCATTTTATTCACATTGATTCTGAGTCCGATTCTCGCTGCAGTTGCTGACACTTTATTTAACATTGTTTGCATTTCATCATAACTGTCAGCAAAAAGGACTACATCATCAGCGTATTTAAGATCTATGATACGATGCTCTGGACTAATTCGGACACCTCTTGACTGCCGACAAGCAGTGTCCATTATCCAGTCTATCGCATAGTTGAATATTGTGGGAGAAATGACACAGCCCTGACGGACACCTATTCTTATTTCGAAAAAGTCTGTCAGCTGCCCATATACACATATCAGCGCCGACGTGCGCTCATAAAATGCCTTTATGTGTCTAATAATTTTCTCTGGAACACCGTCACCTCCAAAGCGCCGCTCTATCAATTGAATCAAGGATAGTCCCAAAGTAGATGGAGTGGTAGTTGCAGATATATCTGGCCAGCACAACCATGCCCCGGTCTGAATCTAGCTTGATTAGGGCGCATCGTGCTGTCTCGTACTTCCATAAGTTTGTCGAGCAAAAGAGAAGCAAAGATTTTCGCTGAAACGTCTAGTAGGCTGATTCCTCGATAATTGTCGCAGTATGTCCTAACACCTTTCTTGACAATTGGAAGCAGAATTGTTTTGCTTTTGCTTTAATCATCTGGTAATATTTCTTTTTTCCATACTAAAGACTACATTTGTTGAAGGTGCGTTA